CATCCCCAGAGGTGTTCAAGCAGACAGGTATTTATTGAGACCCTTGTGGAAGATATTTATGGAACAAGTTGAACTTGATGACCTCTTCTGAAATTCCTCTTCAATCTCTGCACATCAGCAAGTTCACACTAGGCAACCACAGTGGAAAGCCTGGATTTGTGGGTCTCTATAGGGAAGGATCGCTTTGCTGGCTACCTGTTTCCAGGACATGCTCTTAGGGCAGCTAGGTAGCAGTCGTTGAATCACAATGTATAACTTTTGGAAATGATAAATTATTGCAGATTTGTGTTTTCTGAAAGTGGCGTTGGTTCTTAGAAATAGCCCCAAATCTGATCAATATGGGATCACCATATTGGACACCATTTGGGGATTTAAAAAATAATCCAACAACAGAGGTATGACAGTGGAGGGACAAAGGTGATTGCCTTGGCATGCCCATAATCTCAGTATGGGACATGAGAGATTTTCCCCCAAGTGGCACTTTGAAAAGGTGTGCAGCCACAGAGGCACCAAAGGAAGCTGCACTCATTTGAGAGTTTGCATCCTGCAGTGATTTTTCAAAGATCAATCTCACACTTTACAGTTACGGTGCTCACTTTATCTCAGTAAGGAATTGGCATATTTATTCATTTCTTATGATAGAATGTTTCTGAGACTGCTAGAACCTCTGACCCATGCTTCCTTCATGGGAGAACTCATCATGTTCCATGGGGGTCTTCTGAAGACCCAGCGGAGCTGTCAAGCTGGGCATCTGGCTGGATGGCTTTATCTAACCTGCTTTACTTCACTCCCTTGTCAACTCATTGCTGCAGTAGCATCATGACACTTTGAAGGGTTCTACTATTTGGCACATATTCACAGCTAGACCAGACTTCCCTGGTAGTGCCAGTGGTAAAAAAAAAAAAAAAAAAAAAAAATCCTCCTGCCAATGCATGATACACAGGAGACTTGGGTTCGATCCCTGGATTGGAAAGATCCCCTGGAGGAGGAAATGGCAACCCACTCCAGTATTCTTGACTGGGAAATCCCATGGACAGAGGAGCCTGGTGGGCTACACAATCTCTAGGGTTGCAAAGAGTTGGACTAAGTGATTGACCACACATGCACAGCTGGACAGTTGCTGGAGGCGGCCACCTCCACACAAGGGAGTGGCCTCCCATTGTGCTCAATTTGGGACACAGAGGATGCCATCTTCAGGCCATTTCTGGGAACTGCCCTTCAAGAGGGACCCGCTTTAAATAATCTGTTCTTCGTGTGTCAGAGAGAGAGCCCATGGAATATCCTGATTCAAGATCAGTAATGAAGAAAGTGAAAGTGTGAATCGCTCAGTCGTGTCGGACTCTTTGCAGCCTCATGGACTTTAGCCCGGCAGGCTCCTCCATCCATGGGATTCTCCAGGAAAGAATACTGGGGAGGGTTGCGATGTCTTCCAGGGGATCTTCCCAACCCAGTGATTGAAACCGGATCTCCTGCATTGCAGGCAGACTCTTTACCATCTGAGTCACCAGCTAATGAAGAAGGCTAGAGCTTTCCCTTGACAGCTGACTTTGGTGAACGAGAAAGATGATTAGAGCAGATGACAGAGTCACCAGAGGGAGTGGAGAGGAGCCCCTGGGTGGCATCACCGCTTTGTGTAAAGGCAGTTCTGCCAGTCTGCCTGGCAGAGCAAAGTCAAGGCAGCCTTACCATGTGTAACTCTTCTACTACTTAAAGATGGAGGGGCTGGACAAGAACTCAGGGAAGCACGCTAGCATTCTTTAAGCTGCATGATTATGGCATGGAAGGGGGTATCCAGGTCCACGTTCGTTTGCTCTACATGAAACATTTTTCCTCCTCCAAAGCATCATCTGTGGGTCCACCTTTTCCCATTCTCAGCTCAGAAGCTGTGGGTGAAGTTTCCATTCCCAGCTTAGGGATGAAACATGTGGCCTGGGCCTGAGACAATCAATCCAATCATAATTCCCAGACCATGGTGACTGGTTCAGGGCTGGGCAGGGCCAGTGACCTTCAATGACACTTTTGTTGGGGCTGCTGGCTTCAAGGTAGAGGTTTTTCCCATCAGATTTGATCCTAAGAGCATGGAAAGCTGGGATTCTTGCAGTCACCTTGGAGCTTACCAGGAACCCAAGACTGAAGCCAATACAAATGCAGACACAGTGGCAAGGTAGAAAGAATCAAGTCCTGGTGACATTGCTTGGATGCTGAATCCAGCTGTGCCTGAAGCCTGATCTTCGTCTGAACTTTACAATTCTTCTTTAAAATGAATATGGCTTGAGCCATCTATTTCTTGCTCCACAAAAGTTCCAATGGTATCAGTTCTGCGCAGCTAGCAGGCCTAGGGTGGGAACAGGTGAAGTAGGGCTAATCCGTCATTATATGTTACAGGATGGTGTGTTGTTGTAATTCCCTATAGGGGAGAGATTTTGACAGAGCTGTTTGGAGAGGGTACAGGCTCCCTCAAGGGTGAATTCTTTATCAGGAGCAGGATTTCTGATCCAAACAGAATGACCACATTGAGGGGAGAACATAGAATCAATTCAAGCATCAAAAGAGGGGGTTACCTGGGCATCTCTTTAGAGCTGTGTTTCAAAGTCCCTTTTTAATGATGATAGCAGTGTGGTCACATGCCCTTTCAAACTCCTTCTCTAGGCATCTCTAATACAAGCAAGCAATGATCAGGAACATGTGGCACAAAGATTCTAAATCTACAGTCTTGGAACCAGTCCCTGGTGGGCAGCACCAACACAGTTAGGTTGACCATGAACTTAACCTTGGTCCGCCCTTCTGACTGCCAGAGAGGTTGATCCACTCTGCCCTCCAGACCCCTTCCACCTCTTCTCCCTTCACCTATTTATGCTGTTGCCCTCACTTGGAATTTCCTTGACCTTTTAAGAACCAACTCTCCTCAACAAGGCTTTGTGCTCTGACCACCCCAGACCAAAGGGAGGACTCCAACCTCTGATCTCAGAGTGATCCAGTTTTCAGAAACACTCCTTTGGGACTGATTGGTACTGCTTTGCCAAGTTCCTTAATGTTTCTTCACAGTTCCTTGTCTGTCTGTCTGTCTGCTTGAGGGCAGATTTAGACTGAGTCCTCGTACCCAACATATAGCTTTGCAGAGGCTGTGCTCCACTGATGCTCGTAGGTAAGTGATGTATTAAAATCATTGGCTCTTGTTAGTAATCTGGAATCTGGCCACCTGACCAGATCCTCTTGGATCTGGGTTCCTAGCATTCACTGGGTTGACTATGGACTCTCCCACACCCCAACTCAGTCCAGTGTGTTCAGGGTAGTTGCAAGGCCTGGGGAACAGAGGAAACAGACCCACACCGCCTTCCTCCAAGTCCTCATTACTCTACCCACACCTGACACTCCACGTGCGTGATATACATAGTCTTCATTCATTCACCGAAGACTTACCAAGCACACTGCCAGGCATCATGTATACAATGACAGGCTAACTAGATGCAGTGCCGGCCTCTGGGGCTTCCAGGATGGAGTCCCTTCCACACAGCCAGGACTGTTCCTCGTCTGTCTGCCTTTCTCTCCCTAGTCCTTGAGATGTCTTGGCTCCGGAACCCCGGATCTGTCATGGGTCCCTGCTGAGGTAGAGTCGGTTTGCCCTCTGCTGACGCCCAAGCTCTCCTCCTAAGGGCTTCCTCCTTCCCACCCTCCCTCTTGTCTGAGGCAGTGCTCTGGCTTGTCCCTCCCAGTAGCTACCATTTCCCCAGATCTCTAACCCTAGGAGAGATTTGGGCTCCCCAGAGACAATCTGATGGTTATGGTTAATATGAGTTTTGCATCTTGAATGTCCATTTGTTTTACATTAATAAACATAAGAAGTTCAGATTCTGAGAAACATATAATCCTGACAGGTGATGGGAAAGCAAACCTAACCCCTGCTGGGCTCTGGTTTGAGGTCCTGACCCTCGGGTCACCGGTGAGGGTCTGGCCTTTGACTCCGAACCCTCTGGATGAGGCTCGTGGTCCTCCCAGCAGCACCTGCTGCCTCAGGTGCTGATGAGAATGCTGCGTCAGCAAAGAGCGACCCTGCCCACCTGCTGGGGCAGGGGCTGTGCCAGTCTCTCTCTCTCTTTTACGTTTCATTAGCACAGTCCAGGGCTGCTTGGGGGCTGCGCGGAGTCGGGGGTGAGGGCGGTTTCCCTTGGCCTGGCGCTGTTGGCTTGGCGAAGAGCCAGGCTCCCCTTGGCCCTCAGTCTGTGCCAAGACCCTGGAATCTGGGCGGCTCTTCCGGGAGGGCAAAGCAAAGCTTGAGAGTAAATCTCGGGGAACTTCTTGGGGGGGGGCGGGGAAATCCAGGTTAGAAAAATGTAGGAAGGGCGGAGAACAGATAGGAAGGAGCGCTGCCCCGCACGAACAGTGGGTGCAGGGCTGTCTGGAGTCCGAGAGAATCCTCAAAGCGCTCCACTACTACCTGCCCACGTGAGTGCGTGTGCCAAGGAGCCAGAGCCCCGGGAGCAGCGAGAGGCGAGGCCGAGCGAGGAGACGCAGAGGGGCCGCAGGCAGAGACCCAGCGAGCGCGCTGCCCGGGCGCCGAGCCCAGGGGCCGCCCACTGGCGAGGGAGCCGGGGAGCGCGCAGGAGAGGCGGCGGCGGCCGGGCTTCCCCGGGCTTCCCCTCGCCCCGGCGCGAGCGCAAGGCGCGGCCGGCCCAGGGCGCGGAGGCGGTGCCGGGCGCGGGGGACCCGGGAGTCCCCGAGGCGTCCTCTCGCTCGGCGCAGGGGCCGCGGGGCGGGGAGCGTCGGGAGCGGTCGGCGCGGTGTCCCCGAACCCCGGAGCCTCGGGCGGGAGATTTGGGCTGAGCCCTCCCGGCCGCCCGCCCGCCCCTCCCGGCGCCCGCCTCCCGCCCCCGCCCGCGGCCTGGAGCGCGCCTCCCTCGCCGCCCCGGGTCTGGCGAGCCGGCACCGGCCGAGCTGCGGAAGCCACTGAGAGCACCAGCCGCCACCGCCGCCGCCGCCGCGGGAGCCGTTCCGGCCGCACCATGCGAGAACTGGCCATCGAGATCGGGGTCCGAGCCCTGCTTTTCGGGGTCTTCGTGTAAGTAGTGGCGCGCCGCAGGTCGGGGAGCGAGGACTCGGGGACCCACGGACCGAGCGTCTGGGCACCCCAAGTTTGTTTGCGTCCCTCCGGGGCCTGGGTTGGAGGGCCCCTTCCCCGCCCAGGGGTGCGTCCTAGGGGACCTAGAGAGACTCTTCTGGCCCCCTTCCTGGGACTCTGCGCACGAAGGGACCCCCGCGCGCGAGACTGAGCCGGCTCCCGTCACCCCCAACGCGCCACGTCCCCTGGCCGGCGCCTTTCCCCGGCCCTGCACCACCTGCCGGGGATTCTGGATGCTCCCGGGAACGCAGACGCGCACCCTCGTTGGCGCCCTGGGGAAGTTTCTTCCCGTGTGTGATCTTCGGAGCCCGACGTTTGCAGTCTCTGCTCCTGGCTGCATCCTTCCTGGATCCGCGCGGTGCCCAGGGCCGGGCTGGGTCTCCCTTCGTGCCCCTGGCTTTAGCGCCGTGGGGGGTTGGGGGGGGTGGGTCCTGGTGAGCGTTTCCCCTGGAGGCATTTGCGGTACTTCTCCGGCTGGAAAACTGTTGCTGCGGTGGCTGAGAAGTCGGAGGGCCGGCAGCCCGGAATGTGGGCTCCGTATGCCCAGAGCTCCGTGCGGAGTCCATGTCCACTTAGGGCAGCAGCGAGATGCCCCGGGGGCCCTGAGCGGCCGCTGCTTGGCAAGAGGAAGGGGATCTGGCAATGGGTTTTTTCAGAGACTTCTGAGCCCCACTGTAACCCCGGGGACCCGCCGCCCCCCAGTTTCCCCCGCGCCCAAGCAGCAGCGATCTGTCGCGTCTCTGCCCTTCAGATTCAAGCCCAGAACATCCGCTCAGACCCATTCCTAGCCTTCTGTCATCCCCTGTCACCTAGGCGCCCATGTCTACACTTGTCCCTCCATTAGGGGTTCAGGTTCTCTCTCCTCCTCTGCGCAGGGCTGTTTTCAGACACATTTAAAATATTTAAGTTGCATGAACTTTCTGGATTTGCATTTTTTTTTTTTTAAAGCCCATTGAGCCATTCCAAACAGGAGGCCTCTCTCTGGATTTCTGCCCCGAATCTGGAGTCCTTGGTGGCAGGTGGGAGGCTGTGAGACGACTTTGGTTTTGTTCACCCAGAAATGCAAAGAAATGCCCTTTCTGGCATGTTTTTCTTTACCAGGGACTAAATTCATCCAGCGTGTTTATTCACACTGCTGGAAAAAAATCCGTGAGCTTCCCCCAGATGCAGAAACCCTCTCTCCTAGCTTCTGACTAAACACTGGTGTTATTCAGTGGGAAGAACTCGGGTGGTTCCTGAGGCACTTCAGAAAAAAACAGAAAACACTTTTCCCTCCTCTTAGTCTATTTCTCTACCTTTGGAATATACATTCAAACTAGTACTTGCCCTGTGGTCAGATGGGGACAGCTTCCAATTGGCAGTTAGGCTGAGCCCCATTAAAGTATTTTGTGATAGAAATGATAAAACAGTGTTCAGTGCACAGCAAAATTTACCATTTGTTGGGTGAATGTTTGTGTGAGTAATGTTGAAATAGAGTGAGATAGGCTCTTTGGCTGCTAGTTTTGTTTGCCACAGGCAATCATCAAATTTTTTTTAAAAAAGATCCAATGATATGTAAATATTTGTATTATTTTCAAACACTCCTTCAAATATCTGCCCCAACCAAACATTTATGTGATGTTTACAAATATGTAATGAATGGTCCATGCAGTGGATTTGGAAATTTGATAATTATCGTTTTATGTGCTTCTTGCTTCCTCTAAAGATGTTATGTAAAAACCAGGCAGTTTATGTATTTTTTTCTCCAGCTTCCCCTTTGTATTAATTACTTAATGGGGGATCTGCTATCACCCAGAGGGGATCTGTTATCACCCGAAATCTTGGGTGCTGATGGCATTTTTGGATGATTCCCTGGTTGTATCAAATTGGAAATATTAACAGTGTGTCCAACTTTGGCTCTTTTACCTGCAAAGACCAGCTTCGGTATCTGTGCTCAACTCCCTGGGTGGGAATCTTGGATGCTCCAATGCTGTTATCATCAGGCAGATACCGACTTCCGGAAGGACTGGTGTGGAGATACAGATGACCCTTTGTTTTCTTAGATAATCTTCTGGTGGGATGACAGAGGCTGGCTTTCGGGGGTGGGAGGAGTTTTATTCTTCCTTTCGCTGATGCTGGTCTGATGGCAGGCTTCAGTGGCTTGAACCCACCTCTAGTCATGAAGGTGGTGGTCTCAGTAGGAGGGCTTCATCCTAGTAGGTTTAGAAAGTCCCTCTGGACAAGCCAAATCCGTTTCTCTGCTGTTGGGTCCAACTTAGATGACACTATCTGGTTCTGCTTGATGTATCTACCTTATTTCTGAGGGTAAGGGAATAATCTTTTGCTGGGGGATACTTAATTTCTTTGCAGACTTGTGCCTCTGGGGAACATCACCTGTAGATGTACCTGTTCTCTGATCAGATTTGCTCTGCATGAAATTAGAACCCCACTTCCTGGTGCCCAAAGTCGTGTCTGACTCTTTTGTGACCCTCTGGACTGTAGCCCACCAGGCTCCTCTGTCCATGGGATTTCTCGGGCAAGAATACTGCCATTTCCTTCTCCAGGGGGTTCTTCCTGACCCAGGGATCAAACCTGCATCTCCTGACACTGGGAGGCAGATTCTTTATGGCTGAGCCACCAGGGAAGCCCCCCTAGAGGTGTGAGGTTAGTGCTATTACAATGTGTTTGTGGATCCCTGGATAGTGGGGATAGACTAGGAAACAAGGTTTCCCTTGTTCTCTTAGGGAACCGGTTCTCTGTCTCTAAACCAGGTTTAGCACTGAACTTTGATGACTCAGGATTCTAAGAGGATGCTTTTCATGGACCACTCTCCAGAGAGCACCCGAGAAATGCTCATCCTGCCTGAGAAGCTCAGTCTCCGAGGAGAAAATTAGTAACAAGTAATGCCCATCAGGGCTGGTATGTAAAGTTTAACTTATCAGGAAATAAATTGGTTTGGGGAATCAGTGTTTAGGAAACATTGAAGTACAGTGTGCAGCTTTGAGGCTGAGTTTAGTACTTTGAGACTGTGGGCTTTGCTCTTCCTCAGGGGTCCCATGGGAGGGCTTCTCAGGTGACACTAGTGGTAAGGAACCAGCCTGCCAATGCAGGAGACATGAGATGTGGGTTCAATCCCTGGGTCACGAAGATCCCCTGCAGGAGGGCCTGATAACCCACTCCAGTATTCTTGCCTAGATTGCTCAGCCTGGCAGAGCAATCATACAACACACTGCTTTTTGTTATTCCCCGCCTCCCCCCACCCCCCGTCACTTTGCAATCACTGGTTTTGAAAGTTTTGCCTCCAAACATTTCCCTTTTATTATCCATCCAATCTGTAGGTGCATGTTTGGCATCTTGTAGGTGCCTGCAGTTATAGTGGTTATTTTTTTTCTCTTTCATTAGTAAACCTCCGTTTGTGTACTTCCAAACAGACACAGGGTAACTTGGCACTTTAGCCGATCCAGGTGACTTGCTTGAGGGCCCTGGCTGTGACATGGATTTTTGGAATATTGGCAGTAGCTAATAGATCTTTCTTTATTACCCCGAGGATTCTGGTTTCAGACTCGAGGTTGGGGAGGGCTATGATGTTTGGAGCAGACTGCTCGGTCTTACTTAGAAGGAGGAATTAATTAGCCCTGGGAGGAATGACAAGGAAGAGACAGGTGCCAAGGAAGGTTGCTTAGAGCTGGCATCTCTCACCTGAGTCTTGAGCAGGGGATGGAAGGTGCAGAGAGCCTGGGCCTGAGAACATTCCTGCAGACAGAGTCCTGGAGCCAAAGCCTGGAGGCACATTTTGGGTGGAATTGGCTCAGATGGTACAGAATCGGCCTACAGTGGAGACCCAGGTTTGATCCCTGGGTTGGGAAGATTCCCTGGAGAAGGGAATGGCAACCAGGGTACTCCAGTACCCTTGCCTGGAGCATCCCATGGACTGAGGAGCCTGCTGGGCTACAGTCCATGGGGTTGCAAAGAGTAGGACGTGAATGAGTGACTAACACTAACTAAGCTCACCGTGTGTGGCCTCAGTACAGAGTGTGGGTTTCGCGGTCGGGGAGTTGGGCTGTAGGAGGGTCAGGAAATGAGCCTGGCACAAGGACGTCTTAGTGCCCTGCGTGAAGCCTGGATAGTCCCCTGTGTGGAGCGTCCCTGGGGAGCCCTGGGACGTTTGAAACAAAAAAGCACCATGGACAGATACGTGGCCAGTGTGGAGGGGTGCAGCAGTTCCCTCGGGCCCCGAGGCCCTGGTCCTTCTGTCAGTGACCACGTGCGGCTCTGCTTCTGGGCTCCTCTGTGCTTTCAGGGAGCCCGAGGTTTGTTCTGCCTTCTGTGCAGGAACCCACATCCCTGTCTCCTTTGCTTTCCCTGCTCTTTCCCCTGGGCCTTGCATGGTTGGTGCTCAGCAGAGCTCACCAGCTGGCACTTGGTTTGTGAAGATCATGTTTGCAGACCTCTGAGTGTTCAGCATCCATGGAGAGCAAGGCTTCCTGAAGGGCAGCCTGCTGACCACCTGCGCCTGAATTACCTGGGCCCTGTCCAGGCCTAACTGGATCAACCTTCGGAGTGGAGCCCACCCTGGAATGGGTCAACACTCCCATCAGCCTGTGGAATGTTGCATTTTCATCAGGCGATCCTTCTGTCCACCACATTTGGGAACTGCTGATGTGTAGTTACAGTGGCTTGAGACCCTCTTGTGGTCTCGGGTCGCCTCTGGTTATTTTCTCCTCTGGTTACATGGGAGACGACCGTTCCCAAATCCCTGCTTTTAGGTGGGGCTGTGGGAAACATGGGCAGAGTGATCGGGGCCAGCTTCAGGTTGAGGCAGCATCAGGCCCCTTGGGGACCTGTCATTGTCCTTCTCTGTTGGCGGCAAGCATGGAGCTCTGTGTTGAGATGGCAAAGCTGCCAGATGCCAGCTGCTATTGGAGGTGGACTTATGGGACAGAAGGAAGCTTTATTTCATT